CTTTTCTTTCACTCAGTTGCAGTGCAGTCCTTGAACCTGATTATTTTCAGAGGAAGCCACTAAACAATCCCCCATGAATCATTCAAGGGCAAGGAAGAGCTTTAAATGTCTTTTAAGAAACCTGGTGAGCTATTCCCTAAAACATCTTAACGAAACACTAAGTTTGTCTTTCATGAGTAGAAAAAGTTTGACATGTACTTCCATTTATTTTTGAAAACAACAAAAAAACGTTTTGCATGCGAAAATTGACATTAATGGTCATGAAAAGTACTGAGACCTATAAAAAACAACTCTTAAGCTGCAAGCAATATTAACCATGCTAAATGTAGACGTTTTGTCACAGCTTATTAGTGTTTGTACAATTCCAGAAAAGATGGATTACGGTCGGACGTGTTCCCTGCTGCGTTTTATTTAGCATCGCTAATGACGTAGGGTTTACATCATCCTGGATGACCTCATCCCGGCCACGGTGACGCCCCAGCTATTTTGTTAACTCCAAAGCACCTGTCACTCTGGCCTGAGTGCCGCACTGTCATTGGCTGCGGACACAAAAAACCCACTGGCCTCTCATTTTCTTGCAGCCAATTGGCAGGCGGATGTTTGGCGTTCTCATTTGGTGTTTACTCTAATGGGGAACGTCACTCAAAATGTTCTAGCCCGACCATTGGTTCTGATAAACGTCAACGAAAGAAAACTCCCGCCTCTGATTGGCCGAGTCCTCTCGGGGGCCGTCTGAAACCTTTGGTTGACGTTGTTGTTGTAAGTGGTGGAGAAATTACTTTGTCGCTGGTGGTCCGGTTTGGGATTTTACGCACCGTTCTCCATATGAGGACACTAAAAAGTTAGAAGTCGTTGGTACTGGAAACGTATTTGCTACTTACAAGTTGGCACTTGCTGGAAAACTGAATGGGACGATGAAAACAACATCTGCGAGGCCGCTAAAGGTAAGCAGTAGAGGGATACTCCAGCTCCTAGCGTTAACGTAAGCTACCGTTAGCTTGCTGCTGATTAGCCAGGCTTGAAGTAGCCACTTGCTAGCCAAAGGTAACGGTTCGTTCTAATAACTGAAAAAAATGTACAGGACTTCTTTATGGTGAGCATTCATGCGCATGTCTGGCAGACTTTAAATGGACGATTATAATTACTAATGGGTGCGAATAAAGTTAGTGGGATATGTTTGAACGGTGCATGAACCTCATGCGTTTGAACGCCTCAAATGCGTTTATGTAAGCATGTTTATTGTTCCCTGATATTTCTTCTTCAAAGAATAGTTCTAGCCATTAAAAGCTGGCTCAGAGTCAGCAGTGGGGACAAGCCATCATCGTGTGTAGCGTTAGGATTCAGCGCAGAGCAGAACTGGTTTCTGAATACTGCCTCAGCTGTCAGCTAAGCAGTGTGAACACTGATATCAATTTCAGCTGATCTCTTTAGTAGTTGTGCATCTGCCTGTGGAAGTAAGTTAAGTCATCATCTCGTTTTTTCTGGGAGCTTCTAGTCACGATCCAGCTTATTGGAGTCCGCCTTTTATTTAAGGTGCATGTGTGATGTAACATTGACTTAAAAGACCAGCTCACAGGAAATTACCAGAGCCAGCTCTTCACACACCACAATTTCTAACCAAAACAACTGGGTTTATTGAGTCTGAATAAGCATCTAACTCTGTGTGAGGCTCCTGCCTGAGCTGACGGGTCACAGGGTTCACTGCTTTTTACTCATTCTGAAACTAGAACTAGGTTTATTTGGCATATTTTTCTCTACATCACCACAGCGAGAAAGTATTAGGTTGCACTCTGCCTTGAATTATTTAGGTCTTGTAGTTGTGGACTCTTTTGTTTGCCGGGACACCAGGACAGACAGCCTATATGAAAAGTAGGACAGAGGTACAAGTTCTTCAGTGTATTTGGCCTACAGCAGGGGTGTCAAAAGTAATTTTAGTGAGCAGGGTATGTACAGCTCACTTTGATCCAAAGCTTGTTTGACGTATAAAACCACTGGATAATATCCTTTATATACACAAAATGTCTTTGTGTGAAGAAGTATGGGTACTTAGGAAAAACATTTGCATTTAATAAGCTATTTAAAAAGCAAATGATAAGCAGTCAAGGATCTCTTAGGCAAAAGGAGTGCAATTAAAACCAGTATTTCCACATTTCATCACTCTATTGGTGTTACATGTATTTTAAAATATATAGTGGCTATTTAAAGGCACATGACCTTCACACATGTATTTTGGATCTCAATAACACCAGTATTTTTACTTCTGTCTGTAAAAGCAGAGAGAATTGCAAGTGTCTTCTCTGAAATTTGCACGCTTTGCAAAGCCATCCAGAAGGCCAGGCTGGGTGTGCTTTGACTGCTGATTTTGATTAAAAACAAAACGCACACTGTAATAAACACACAGCAGTGAAGAGGAAGCTCGTTGAGAAGTTAGGTATGGTGTAGTAGGAAAAAGAAACGCATTCAGCCCTCCACCCATACTCACTGTTTCCAGTGGCTGTGAAGGATGATGCTTGAAATGTAGGACACACAAGCAACTGCTGATCAGTACCAGTGTGGAAAGTTGAATGAAACTACCAGTGCACTTTGACTGTAATATTTGTCTTTTCTGCGAGTGACTTTTGCAGCTCGATCTGATCTGATTTGATCACAGCTTTCAGTGTGTTAATTTGATCAATTTCCAAATCTTATTTTCATGTCCCTGAATTTTCAAGTCCCCATATGTACTGATTTGTGTCTATATACATAAAGTAAATATTTTTCACCTCTAAAGGGTGCAAGAAGTCTACATTTGTGAATCATTAGGATGGTTACAATTCAACAGCATTATTTTGATTATTCAAACTGCTTAATTAAAAAAAAAACAGAATTAAACTACAGTGGTTGTCACTTCTTTTTAGCTTAGTTTTCTTGGTTGTCAGCATGACTATGCTGGACAACTTATAAGCCGTAGACATGAATCCTTCTTCCTGTTTAAATGCGTCACTCTCAAAGCTTTGCTAACCGTCATTACGAAAGTAGCCCAACTTTTGGCCATGAACGTGGAAAAATAGATTTTCTTCTCAACAGAGATTTTTTTTTTTTTCAATTTTGTTTTTTCGTTACGTAGTTTAAAATGTAAAGAAAGAGAAAGTGTTGAAAATATAGATTATAAACTTCAAGGTGAGCATTTTAATTGTTGCCTTCTTAGTGTTTTAAAACTGGGCGTGATGTATCTGACTAAATTATGCCAAGAAGTTGTTAGATAACAACCTAAATGATCCTTTTTTTTTTTTCTTCTAACAATGTCTGTAATTTGAAGAAAACAACTTTGTTTTATTCAGGATGAAATCACAGGGATTCATATGTTACTGCATTGGTCAACTAATATGAATGCAATGAAGGGAACATTTATCAACATTTTAAACCTTTTTATTTTCATAGGTGCAGTCAGTGAAGTTTTTGACCACACCTCATATTTGCACCCATTATCTCACTGTTGGTAATTAAAGTGATAAAGCTGCCCAACAGTTCATGGTGGCAACTATTTACCATGATGCTCAGTTTTTCTGAGGGTTTGTGTCAGGTTTCATTATACAAGTCCTCAACACTTGAAGGAACTATATTGATGCATACAGCAGCAGAGAGAGCACCTCAGGCGAGTATTTTAAGAGGGGTGTAGCATCCTTCTGACTGCAAGTCAGTTTCCAAACTGGCAGGGTGTAAAAGTAAAAAAAAAAAAGAAGACTGAAAACAAAAAGTGCTCTGCTGCTTTGTAAATATGTGGATTATAGGCACAGGTATACAGTCTATTAAATTGCCTTCTCAGTGCACTAAACAGGCAGTAGCTCAGCCTGCATCCAGTAGAACGGAACAAAACAAACATTACTGAGTTATTGCTCTTTGATTTTCCTCGAACCATTTGAATTTGGTTGATCCAAATTTAAATATGTGGCTTGTAATCTGCAGTGTATCATATGCATCAGATCTCTTAACAGGATTCAAATGTTATGTGGTTGGGAGTTCACAGTAGCCTCGGGTCACAGTGACACTGATGGTGATGGTGCCCATTCAAGAGGTTTTGTTCTCGAAAGGAAATCACCAAGACCGGGGCTAAAATGTTTTTAATTGCTTTTTTCTAAAGTTGGTTTTAGTTTGGCTAACTTTAAAATGCATTTTGCTTTATCAAAAAATAACAGGACAATGCTTACATTTATATCAACCAAAGACCTTTTACCTAAACTCAGTACAAAGCAGTCGCGCTTACCTTCATATTAACAAAGGCTTTGTTTGAGCCAGCGTGCTAAACTGTATCTCACTCAAATTTAGTTTGCAAGCTCTTTTATTGTTAATGAACGATTACAAAACTGTGTGGAGTGGGACATGAGCTTTTTCACCTTCTGAAGCATTGCATGCCCTGCTGTCATCCAAAATGATGAGTTGTAACTAGACACTTATATTACCTGTGTAACAGGGTTTGTCATGACTCTGGCAACATGAAGTTTTATGAGCTGATGCTCATGGGCTTATTTGCACACTGTTTTGCAGTTACATGTGGCAATAAAGACAGAGCAGCAGTGACTCTTGATTTATACTTCACATGACGAACAGCCAGTTGAACTTGTTTGACTTTCTGTATGACTTTAAGGTTTTGTGCCAGTTAGTGTGAGAGTGCTGTAAACATGTGTCACACACTTATTTTGCTGAATATCCTTTGTGGCTGTCTTAGTGAATATAATGTTATACAAGCTAACCTGTCTGTTTCAGCCATGCAGAGGGTATGAAAATTTAAATTTTCCTCTCACTGAGTTCCCCCAAACAGCTGCTCACTGTCAGCGGTGCAGTGTCAGTTACACGGCCAGGCCCGTTTGGCCTACTCCCACAGGAAAACACGGTCAGATTAATAAGTAAGTAGATGAGGTTAGTAGGACAACCAGATGATTTTTTTCCTGTTAAGTGTGCGTGTCCCACTGGTGGTAAGGCATGAACTAAGCCTTGTTTTGTTTGGACTCTTTGCAGATTTCCAAAAAAGACTTAAAACCCACATCCATCTGTGCTCTTATATCTTTAAGTAGCACTATTTAGAAACACAGGAAGGGGATAAGATAAAAGGCAAAAAACAGTTTTAGTCTCTGCACTGCCACAGCGACACGAGGATCAATAGGTGGCTTGTCTCTAAGAGGTCTCCATGTCCAGACAGCAACTCATAAAACTCTTTGCAGCCCCACCCTCCCCACCATGGCTGGTTGCCTGCCAGTCTTGTGACACAGCAGCTAGCCAGTGCCCAGGGCCATTTGTGTCCAGGATGGGTAGATACTATGAACTGAGGTGCTTACCTGGGTGCCAGCAGCTGCTTTACTTTGAAAACATGCATGTTTGAGTCCAAAATTTGTCATTTTATACCGTTTCTTCGTTTGTTTATAAGTAAAATATTTTTATTTGTGTAAAGAAAAACACAAAAATCAGGCATCTGTTGACACTCACTATATACCGTAGTACACTATACTATAGTATAAAATACATTTGATTTATCCTCCAAACTGGGGAAACTCTGTAGTCTTTAACAAAATAGCTATGACCAGTTTATAGTTCATAAAGGTGAAGTACACTTTATCAAAACAAATAAGACATTTCACTAAAATAAAAGCTAGTTTGAAATCAAAATAAATGTAATTTATATTTAAATAAAAATACTTAGTGGTAATATAATTTATAATTATTATTTTAAATTCACCCAGCAAAATACTAAATGTAGAAAAACAGCATAGCGACTATGAGATGACATTTCAGCTGGTATATGTAACAGTAAAGGTTTGTCTTGCATTTGAGAAAAAAAAAAAGGTTTTATTTATTAAGTGGCCAAAATACAGTGCATACTTACAAAAACTCATTTTAAGCAGGTATTTGAGCAGCATTGACATATACATATATTAAATACAAAATTGTTCTTAGGCTACAAGTGCAACTT